GTGAAATGGCCTTGCTGATTCAGTGCCACCTGCCTCAGGTTTGCTCTGAAACTGAAATGAAGGAACTTTGAAAGTTATAAAGACCACCCAGTGTGATGACTATAAATACTGAATAACCTCCAGAATGTTCCTGAATCTTCTCCACTGCCCGCCTTGATCTGGGCCTTGACCGCCACAGCAGGCAGCCTCCTAACTAACCTTCCACCTTTGCCTCTTAGGACCCACCCCCAAGGCAGCAGCCAAGGGTCTTCTCAAGATTTAAGGGAGACCCTGTCAGGACTTCCCTGCTGGTCCAATAGTTAAGACTTGCACTTCCACTGCAGGGGGCACAGGTTCGATCCCTGGTCAGGGAACTAAGACACTGCATGCCACACAGCCAATATATAAAATAATAATAATAATACATATCTTTTAAAATAGATGAGATTGTCACTCCTCTGCTGAAAACCTTCCAGTGGTTTCCCAGCGCACATGGAGCACAGAGCTGGCTCTTGCACAGAGTGACCCGCATGTCGCTCTCTGGCCAGCCTCAGCCTGTCGCCTGCCCCTTGCTTCCTGCTTGGCCTGCTCTCATTCCAGTCCTGCAGCCTCAGCTGGCCTTCTGTCTCTTCCTTGAACATTCTAAGCTTGTTCCCACCTCAGGGCCATTCCCTGAGCTGCACCCAGGCCAGGTGTGCCCTTCCCCACCTCCTGTGTCCCCGTGACTGGCTCCTTGTCTCTTAAATGCCACCTCCTGGGACGGGCCTTCCCTAAGCTCCCAGCCGCCCGCACCCCCAACCTGCCACATTTCCTATTTTAGTTTCTGTGTAACTCTTATCTGTATCTCTGCTTCTCTTGTGCATTTAACACCGACCTTTTTATTTGTTTTTCCACGCTTGAACCGCAAGCTCCCCAAGGCCAGGGACTTCATTAATCTCATTCCCTCGGCTCCGGCAGAGCCCACTGCACACAAAGGTGCTCTGTGGTTATTTGCTGAGTAAATGGACAGTAGTAGCAGAGTGGTCCAGAACAGCCCTTGCCCAAAAAGAGTGGCCTGGACAGAAAGTAGGGCTTTTCTGGTGGCTCAGTGGTAAAGAACCCTCCTGCCAATGCAGGAGACGCGAGTTCGATCTGTGGGTTGGGAAGATCCCCTGGAGGAGGAAATGGCAACCCACTCCAGTATTCTTGCCTGGGAAATCCTATGGACAGAGAAGCCTGGTGGGCTACAGTCCTTAGGCTCTCGGAGTCGGACACGACCGAGCACACAGGTGTCATCATTAGTCTTGCAAGGTGGATATCATTAGCTCCATCCTGTAACGGACAAGACAGAGGCTCAGACTGATTCTGTGAAAGCTAGCATGGGTCAGGGCTATGACAGGAACTCGGCTCAGGGCCCTGTGCACTGCCCTGGCCTCTCTTCAGCGCATGATGCAGGCAGAGCAGCTCATGAAACTCTTGGTGCTCAGGTGTTAGGACCACAGGGTTTCTTCTCCCATGAACAGGGGCAGTGACTTCAAATTGCTCAAAAAAAAAAAAAAAAGAATCATAAGCAGTCAGTCGGAGCTCTGGGACCCTGGGTGAGTTCTGTTTGGTTTTTTTAATGTGTGCATGCCCATAACTCCCAAGTGTAAGCTTCTGTTACTTTTCTATTAAAAAAAGAAAAAAAGAGTTATTGTTCAAATGTCTCACTTTAGCAGCACAGCAGGTGGGCCTTGGTGGAGAATCAGGAGTAGAGCTTGGGTCCCCTGGAGAGAGATGCAGGTCTGAGCCCTTCTGTGCAGCTGGGCCCTAGGTTGCTGGGAAGGAGAAAGACAGGTGAAGAAAGCACTGAATCAAAGCCCTTTGGAGCCAGGGTGCTGAGGGAGGGCGGGGATTAGACTTCGCTGCTGATGCTTGCTTTTACTTTGGCTTATGGTGGGGCGCCAGGGGAGGCCTGGGGCAAGTTTCTTGAACCTTGGTTTCTGTTCACGGCGGCCAATTAAAAGAAACAAACTGCAGGTTGCTGAGGCCTGTGGGTATCATTGCATGTCCATTCCTGAACATACCTGCAGCCTGCTTCCCCGGGGGCAGTGTGGCCTTAGACAAGTCACAGAGCCCTCCAAGCCTCAGTTTTTGTTTTTTGGCCACTCCTCACTGCACGTGGGGTCTTAGTTCCCCAGTCAAGGATCGAACCTGCGCGCCCTGCATTGGAAGCACAGAGTCTTAACCACTGGACCACAGGGAAGTCCCCAAGCCTCTTTATTTTCTTATAAAAAGCCTTTACTTTTGTAGGCCTCGCTTCTGGGTGGAAAGTGGGGATCATAGCACCTATTTTTGAGATTATTGTAGGGATAAATAACCTGATCCTGAGAGCAGGGCTTCTTAAGCCCCTTTTTTACCGCAGACCTGTCAGGCAGCCTGGGGACGTCCATGAATGCCTTCTCAGAATACTCTTTCTAGATGTATACAGTAAAACCACACAGGATTACAAAGGAAATCAATGCTCTTGAACTACAGTTTGGCTCTTTTTTAAATCAATGCACTAAAAAATAAGAACTAGCAGTGAGTGTATGTAACTACAATAACTTCGAAATTGGGTTGAGCATGAACCAAGATTTTGTTGTGTCTGCAGCAGCTGAAATGTGACAGGGAAAAAGCTGTGATTTCTGTGTCTGGTGTTCCTGGGGTGTTTTGCCTGTGTTCCTAATTGGGGGGATTGGTCATTATCAGGTAGAAATTTGTGAATAAAGTTGTGTTTTCCCAGACTCCTGAAAAAAGGTCACAGACCCCTAAATTCTCTCCTTGGGACCCAGGTTCAAAACTCCTGCCATAGAAGTGGCTGGACAACCAGCAGGTGACCTCCAGAAATGACTTCCCTGGAGCAGAGGGTTGTCCAGTGGATGCGGGATGGATGAGGATGAGGGGAAGGGATAAATGCAAACCTGGAGAGCTGACGAGTGAGGTCAGAGACCATGGAATCAAAGCCTTCCCAGTCTCTCTGGGTAGCTGTCGAGGGCCTGGTGAGTGGGAGAAGTGCCAGGCGTGGAGATGACGTAGCTCAGATAGTGTTCGTGTGGCGTGTAACCTGTCTGTACACTGCAGTGGGGCAGGTGAGTGCCAGGGTTGTGGGGGAAGTGGAGTGCGGGTCTAGGCTGAAGGTAGCCTGCAGGGGTGGGTAGCACTTTTCAGTTGGGAGGTGACACTGTCTGGGCCCCAGAACCCAGCTGCCAGAGTTCAAAGCCCAGTTCCGTCACTTAGTAACTAACCTTGGCATGTCACTTCATCTCTTTGTGCCTTGGTTTCCTCATCTGTAAAATGTGGGTGATAGTGGTACTTTCCTAAGGAGTGTTATAAGGATTAAGCATTATACTTAATGTTATATATAGTATCTTGTTATATATAGTATCTTATATAGTATCTTACTCTATTGGTATATAGTATCTTTTTTAAAAAATTAATTTATTTTAATTGGATAGTATCTTAGTATAGCATTATAGTTAAAGCTCACCAGGGCTTCCCTGGTGGCTCAGTGGTAAAGAATCCCCCTGCCAATACAGGAGATGCAGGTTCAATCCCTGGGTCGGGAGGGAAGATTCCCTGGAGAAGGAAATGGCAACCTACTCCAGTATTCTTGCCTGGGAAAACCCATGGACAGAGGAGCCTGGCGGGCTCCAACCCATGGGGTTGCTAAGGAGTCAGACAGGACTTAGCAACTGAACAAGCAACTCAGAATAATATCTGGTAAGAGAAAGTGCTCAGTAACTGATGACTGAACTCTGCATCTTCACTTTTATTCCAGGTTTCATGAGACACTTAGAGTGTATTTTTCTGTGCTGCTCAGAGATAAAGCAGATACAGCTTCTTCCTTCAAGGAGCACCTAGTTTAGGGAGAGAATGGGAATATGAATGCATACTTTTCAGTTCACTAGGATTGCTGCCGTGCTTGTGAGCTTGGGGGGCTGTGCTAGGGTGGACTTTGTGGCAGGCAGCCTTCTTGGTAGAAAAGCCACCTCAGCTGAGCTTTAAGAAACACTGGGCATTAATCAGGGTTGTTCTAGAAAGAGCGGGCAGCTTGAACAGGAAGCTGCATGGTCCAAAGTTGCTGGAATGTCACATTCCATACCAGGCCATGGGCACTGTGTGCCCTGGATGAACAGCCTGGCCTTTGTCCTCCTGGCAGTGGGTGTCATAGAAGGTTTTGTTTGTTTTTAACTTTTTATTCACAGGAAGTTGCAAAAATGGTAACAAAGGGTTCCCTTTACTCTGCTTCCCTTGATGGTCATATACAGCCAAAATCAAAACCAGAAAAATGACATCGGTACATTACTGGACCACAGAGCTTATTCACGTTTCACCTTCTTTAAAAAAAATTAATTTATTATTTATTTGGCTGCACTGGGTCTTGGTTGTATGGCGCTCGGTGCTCAGGAGCTTCACTGTGACATGCAAACTCTTAGTTGTGGCATATGGGATCTAGTTCCCTGACCAGGGATTGAACCTGGGCCCCGTGCATTGGGAGGGTCGAATCCTAGCCACTGGATCACCAGGATCGTCCTCATCTTTTTTTTAAACCTACATTCATGTGGGTGTGTGCACGCATCTGGGTTTTGAGCAAGGGAAGGGTACTGACATGTGAGTTAGACAGAGATCTCTGACCAGCAAATGGCAGCAGATTGCAGGGAATACAATGGTCAGAGGTGATGGAGGGCCTGCTTGTGGAGATGATGGGAGAAGCATGGACAAGCGTTTCAGAGGTAAAGCTGGAATTGGAGATTGACTGAGAGCAGGATGATGGTTGGGTGTATGACTAGAGTTGGAGAATGATGGAGGAGGGGCAGGATTAGGGGAGAAGCTGCTGAGTTAAGTCTGGAATGTATTGAGTCAGAAGGACACTCAGCTCAACTGAAATGGGCACCAAGGAGGACTTTCTGGACACAGAGGCATCCATGCTGGGTCTTAAAGGATGAGTGGGAGTTGGCTGGGGGTGCAGGTGGGGAGGGGGAGGGCATTCCAGGTAGAGGGTTTGAGATTAGGAAAGGTACAGGGGTCATAAGCAGCCTGGGTATTGGGCATCTGGGTAGCATTTCCCACAAGGTAAAAGATGTGAATCTGAAATATTGGGGAGGGGGTGAGCCTGGTGGGAGGAATAGATTTGTGAGTCATCGACATGACTCATGAGATCATGAAATGCAAGAGCTCATCTGGGGGAAGCAGGTGGAGTGAGGAGACCAAGAGCACTGTCCCTGAAGCGGAAGACCTGGGCAGAGGAGGACAAGGACCAACTGATGCAGCCAGCAGTCCTAGAAAAGGCCAGGAAGAAACTGGCCCCTCCTGGACTCAGCAGGTAGGAGGTCCCTGGGATGGGGAGGACCCTTGGCAAGCATCCTCAGTGGAGTGCGCGTGGGCTTGTCGTGAGTTGGGGAGTGGAGTGGGAAGTGTGGACGTGGAGACAGCATAGACAACTCTTTCACAGAATGTGACCAAGAAAGGGAATCAAGGTTGTGCTCGCCAGAAAGGGGATTCGGGATCTGAGGAGGGAATTATTTTGAGGGGTGGGGAAGACTTGAGCGTGATGACAGACGGAGGCTCCTGGAGCTAGGTCTCTTTGCTTACTGGGTGACACTAAAGGTAATGGCCACGTGCGTGGGCTCGGGGGCCAAGCTGCTAGGGTTTGAATCCCAGCTCTGCCTAGCTCCAGCTGTGTGACCTTGGGTAAGTCACTTAACTTCTCTGTGCCCCCTGCTCCTCCACAAATTGGGAATGATAGTAGTCCTGATGTCATAGGATTATGCAAGTCTTAACAAAGGTATTATGTGGGGTGGGAGGTGGGTAAATAATTGTTGGTCGCTCAGTCATGCCCGATTCTTTGTGACTCCATGGACTGCAGCCCACCAGGCTCCTCTGTCCATGAGATTTTCCAGGCAAGGATACTGGAGTGGGTTGCCATTTCCTTCTCCAGGGGATCTTCCCAACCCAGGGATCAAACCTGGGTCTCCGGCACTGCAGGCAGATTCTTTACTGACTGAGCTACAAGGGAGGGTGGGAGGGAGACTCAAAAGGGAGGGGACATATGTATACCTACGACTGATTCATGCTGATGGATGGCAGAAACCAACACAATATTTTAAAGCAATTATCCTCCAATTAAAAATAAATAATAAAACAAAAACAAAGAAAGATAATATGTGTATAGGGATCATGACAGTCCCTGGAACACTGTAATCACTCAGGAAATATTAATATTATTACCTGATTATTACCTGAATTTATCTTGGTATCAGTTTTTTCACTCATTTATTCAACACTCATTCATTCTTATCTGTGTAATGCTTGGGTTGAATGAATTGATACTCATTCATCCATTTCTTTTTCATCCAAACCACCATTTCCCGAACACTTGCTCTATGTCAAACTTGGGCCAGATGTTGAGATTTTGGAGAACCTGGCATAGTCCCTGCCTGGTCTGATGAAGATCTGAGTCTCTAAAATTCTGTCATCGTCAAACCCTTCTCCAGAGTGAGAAAATATCGTGTTTCCTTTGTGATTCCCAGGTCAATGGCTTGGTCTTTTTCTTAGGAAGAATGTCCGTGGACATTTTGGCAGTCCCAGAGCACTGGGTTTAAAATCAGGCTACTGGTTCCCATTTGGCCCTTGTCCTACTGCTGGCCTCAAGTCAGTCATCTCAGTTTGTATTTTAGATTACAAGGCAAATACTTTCTTCCTGCAAAACGTCCAAAGCCCGCAGAGGCATTTAAAGCAGAAGGGAACGTGGTTGTGTGCTCTTGCCTCTTGGCAGATCCTAGTTCCCAGAAAGAACCAGTGAAACTGGAGAATATTCTCTCAAACGCCTTCTTTATATAAACACACATTACACACAGATGTAATCATACAAACCCAAATGTTCGAAAATCTGTTTCTTTTTTTCCTTTCTCAACCATGTACAGAGGCATCTCCATGACAATACCTATAGATTAAATAGCTGCTTGTATTCCATAATGTAGTGGTTTGATTAAGCCAGTTCTTTACTGATGGACATTAAGGTTACTTCTGGTTTTTTACTCTTTAAAAAAGTATATCCCTGTACAAATATAATTTGCGGGCTTTTACAAGGGCTGTGTGGATCACAATAAACTGTGGAAAATTCTCAAAGAGATGGGAATACTAGACCACCTGACCTGCCTCTTGAAATACCTGTATGCAGGTCAGGAAGCAACAGTTAGAACTGGACATGGAACAACAGACTGGTTCCAAATAGGAAAAGGAGTACGTCAAGGCTGTATATTGTCACCCTGCTTATTTNACCTGATGTGAAGAGCTGACTCATTGGAAAAGACCCTGATGCTGGGAAAGATTGAAGGCAGGAGAAGGGGACGACAGAGGATGAGATGGCTAGATGGCATCACCAACTCGATGGACATGAGTTTGAGTAAACTCCCGGAGTTGGTGATGGACAGGGAGGCCTGGCGAGCTGCGATTCATGGGGTTGCAAAGAGTCGGACACAACTAAGTGACTGAACTGAACGGAACAAGGATTTTGGTAGGTTAAATTCTTGTAAGAGAAATTTCTGGTTGGAAAGGAAAGGACATTTTATCATTTGGAAGGGGTTTGGCTGCAAGTAACAATTCTTTCCTCAAAATGGAGTTTATTATTATCTCAAGTGACAAATGAGGCAGAGCAGTTCCAAGGTCAGTTAGTTTATTGTCAGACACGTCATCAAACACCTTCAATCTGTCTTTCTGCTCTGCCATCTTCGTAACTACACACTGGTATACAGCACCAGAAAAGGGGATCACTGCAGTCCCATTTTATTTTTTTTTAGTTTTTAAAAAAAATTTTTTTTAATTGAAGGTTAATTGCTTTACAGAATTTTGTTTTCCGTCAAACCTCAACATGAATCAGCCATAGGTATACATATATCCATATATCCCCTCCTTTTTGAACCCCCACTCCCATCTCCCTCCCATCTCCCTCCCCTCTAGGTGCAGGCCCATTTTAAGTGTTAAGGAAATCTTTCCCAGAAGCCCCTTGGCTGATTTCCCCTCCTTCCCATTGGCTGGGATGATGTCACATGCCCTTGCCCAAGCCAATCACTGGTAAGGAAAAGAACCATTATGATTGGTTTAGCCCAGTGCAGGTTCACCTGCGGCTGTGTGTAGACAGAGGAAGTGATGCTGGCTGCTGGGTAGGCAGCTTGCTCATTTTGGTAGGTGTTGCTTCACAGAGACCTCACCAGTTCACAGGCTGAGTGTGTTGACAGTGTTGGAGAGTGCTCTTTCCTCCACCTCATTGACCAGGCTCTCTTCTTTCATTAGCCTTATAGGTGAAAAGAGTTGTCTTGTTTTAATGTGTTTTTTTCTTCTTTAAATTATATTTGTTTATTTTGGCTGTGCTGAGTCTTCACTGCAGTGCATGGGCTTTCTCTGGTTGCAGAGAACAGGCTTCTCATTGCAGTGGCTTCTCTTGTGGAGCGCAGGGCTCTGCTGCTCCTGCTGCTAAGTCGCTTCAGTCGTGTCCGACTCTGTGCGACCCCATAGACGGCAGCCCACCAAGACCTCACCAGTTCACAGGCTGAGTGTGTTGACAGTGTTGGAGAGTGCTCTTTCCTCCACCTCATTGACCAGGCTCTCTTCTTTCATTAGCCTTATAGGTGAAAAGAGTTGTCTTGTTTTAATGTGTTTTTTTTTTCTTTAAATTTTATTTGTTTATTTTGGCTGTGCTGAGTCTTCACTGCAGTGCATGGGCTTTCTCTGGTTGCAGAGAACAGGCTTCTCATTGCAGTGGCTTCTCTTGTGGAGCGCAGGGCTCTGCTGCTGCTGCTGAGTCGCTTCAGTCGTGTCCGACTCTGTGCGACCCCATAGATGGCAGCCCACCAGTCTCCCCCGTCCATGGGATTTTTCCAGGCAAGAGTACTGGAGTGGGTTGCCATTGCCTTCTCCGCGCAGGGCTCTAGGGCTCAATAATTATGATGCGTGGGCTTAGTTGCCCTGGGGCATGTGGGGTCTTCTCAGACCAGGGATAGAACCCGTGTCTTCTCCATGGCAGGTGGATTCTTAACCACTGAACCACTAGGGAAGTCCTCTGAGTATCCTTTCTTGATGGGTTGTGTTCCTGTGAATTTCCTGTTTATATTCTTTGCCTGTCTGACTTTTTTTATTATCTTTTAATACTCGTATTTATTTATTTATTTTTGATTGTGCTGGGTCTTTGTTGCTGCGAAGGCTTTTCTCTAGTCGTGACTGTAGTTGCAGTGTGCAGGCTTCTCATTGTGATGGCTTCTCTTGTTGCTGAGCATGGGCGTTAGGGCGCTTGCGCTTCAGTAGTTGTGGTTCCCTGACTCTAGAGCACAGGCTCAATAGTTGTGGCACATGGGTTTAGCTGCCCCGAGGAATGTGGAATCTTGCCGGATCAGGGATCAAACCTGTGTCCCCTGCATTGACTGATGGATTCTTAACCACTGGGCCACCAGGAAAGTCCCCTGAGTATCTTTCCTTACTGAATTATGTTTCCTGTGAATTTCCTGTTTTATGTTCTTTGCTCCTCTTTTTAAGTAATCATAATGATTATAGAATAAAAATAGTTGATATTAAATGCATATCTTGTGTCAAACATCTCATTGAACTTGCACAACAACCCCTGACAGTAGATACTATTCCTGTTTTAGAGGCGAGGGAAGTGAGACACTGAGAAATTAAGTAGCTCATATGCAGTTAATAGGGAGCAGATCTTGGATTTGAACCAGCATGCCCCTGGGTGTGAGGTCACATACCATGCTGACATATTGATGGAATCGTTTTCTGTTGGCTCTTTTAATTCACAGCTATATTTCTGAGATGAGCTCATTTGAGTCAGGTCCCGCTTGGAATTCCTAAATTACAAGAATCTGGACCCAGAGTTGGGGGGAGGGTACCACCCTGTCTGGTGGTGGGATTCTGGGGGGATCGGGGCCTTGGTTTCCTCCTTGGGCTTTTTTCTTCTTTAGAAAGAAACAAGATTTATTTGGTTTATGTGCTCCTTGCTCTTCCACCAAGTGCCCTCTCCGAGTTGTGCCTGACCCTCACCCTGGAGGAGCTCACTTCCCTCTTTAGCTGAGAACCTTTTAACCACTGTCTTGGTCTGCTCTGGCTGCTATAACAAAATATTACAGACTGGTGGCTTAAACAGCAGACATTTATTTTCTCACAGTTCTGGAGCATAGATGACCCAGATCAAGGGGCTGGCAGATTTGGTTACTACTGAGAGCTCTCTTCGTTTTTACAGATGGCTAGCTGCCTTCTCACTGGCCTCATCTGGCCTTTTCTTGGTGATGCCTGCCTGTAGGGAGAGGAAGGGAGAACTGTATGGTG